TTAAGGAGGTCAAGGAAGGGGTGAATGGTTCAGCAGAACTACGTGGCGAGTGGGAAAGCACGGCATGATGGACTGGACTAAGGCAGCACTTTCAGAGAAAGTTTTTTTTATTTATTACTATTACTCTCAGTGGAAAGGGAGCAACTAGCACTTCCCAACACTGAAACTGCAGAGTGGGGTGTGTCTAGGGGGGAGCAAAGCAGTGCAGAAATATAACTATTCCTCTGATCATAAGAAAATGGGATCTCTTGGTACCTGCAAGGAGTGCGAAGCTTTCCTGGGGGTTTTGGGTAGCTTATTCTTTTTTCCCCTTTCTGGATCGGTGAGGTATTCTGAATTGTTTGCAGTTGTGTTCTTCAGAATGTGTAATACTGATGTGAAGAGAGACCTTTAGTGTGTATGTAAAGTATATATTTTATATAATGCACATATATATATATACATACACTTGCTATGTAACATGTATGCTGGGAATTACGAAGTGTGTCAGAAGGTGGGAAAAGAAGATAAGAGATGTAAGTATTCTTTTTTTTATAAACTCTCCTTTTGTCTTGGACTAAAGATTGCAAAACAAATTAATAGAAACAGCTGCAGTTCTTTGAGAGACTAAATGGGGTATTGGATCAGATGGCTTCTGCCAGTACTTACATCGGTGGGAAAGTTGATAAGTATCATCTTGTCCTATCCATGCAGGTATCCACTTGACTGTGTCAGGTTTTCAAATATGTTGCTATACAAGAAGCAAGTGACTGTTCTCCATTAAAAGCACTAGCCTGTAGTGCAATAAGCATTGGTGTAAATTCTCCACTTCATGGAGTTGCTATTGATTCACACCCACCTGACAAAAAGTACACAAGAGGTGTAAGACTGATGCTTGCTTTTTAGGGGTCTGCCGTGCTATCTTAAACATTTAATTTCCAGCTGTGACCCACAGCACTTTGATCTGCTTTATAAAATATTTTCAAGGTATTTTAAAAGACACTCCTTTCTGGCACAGTATAAGCAGTACTAGAATCTGCAGTGGAAATCTGTCTAGAAGATGTACTGCAGCATAAATCTCTGGTTCACCATTACCCTGAGTTACTGAGCCTCTCTGGGTGGCTACTTGTACCTCTCTGGCTATGTAGGATTAATTACAGTGCTGTTTGAGATGAGCTGAACTGGTCAAAATGGTATTGCTGCCAAAACCAGGCAACTGCAGTTCCCAGTCCTAAATGGTTTTTGTCATTGGAAAGGAAATTATGACCAGAACACTCAGTGCTGGGGAATACAGAAATCTTAACTATTAGCTGCAGACTTGCAGGGGAGTCTTCAGAGACACACTGCAAATGCCATGTGCGTTTTATCTGTAGTACTCTGGTATTGTTAGGAAGGCAAGCTGGTGCCCGTAGCTGTAGTAGTGAGGCATAGGAAATGATTGTTAATTTGGGGGAGGGTGGAAGTGGTTCACTGATGTAATGAGGATAAGCTTTAAGAAAAATAAATCAAGTATAATTCACTGACCCACTGAAGCCTTAATATTAATGTGGAGACATTGACATATGGTGCTGTCGAGCAAAGTGCTTCTGTCAGGGTGACAGGGATTGGAGTCATCACAGAGCTTTGGATGTGCCAGCATCCTTTACAAACTCATTTCAGAATTGCTTTTTTGACTGAGGGGACTACATCTCTGGGGTGCAACTGATTAGAGGACTATTAGCTACTAGGCTTTTTCATTCTTTAAGTTTAGAAGGGCAATTTTCTTTGGAACCTTGAACCACTTCTTCCTCAGTCTTGAACAGGGATTGTAGAGCTCTTAAATGAGCAGTCTGTACCAAGACTTGCTGTTTGGAGAACACCATTGTTTGTTCTGGTTGCAACTCTTCCCAGGTGTTGCTTCTACACGTTGTGGAAATGGTAGAAATGAGTTTACCTGCTTTGATACCTGGAACTGGTTTCTGTTCAGATAAAGCACAAGAATAGCACTCTTCTCTTGTACAGAGTCCTCTTCTGTGTTTTCCTCTTCAGCTGTAACTGCATAGTAACTGCAGCAGTGATAGTTTGACTTTTGCTGTCATTGTCTTGCAGAGATGCAGTTTTAGTGAGAACAGAGAGCCTGCAGCACTAGGAAGGCTGTTAGGTGATCTATAAGCCTTTTAGACCTTCTGTATGAAGAAGTCTTCTGCATGTTAGGTAGCTGAGGTGTGAGAAATTGGGCTATAAACAAACATAGGCTGCCCCAGCTCAACGTACACTTAAATACCTGAGAAACTCATCCTCTCTGCACTGTTACTCTGTCCCTGTGGAAATGCCACTATCTGCATCCAAAGGGCTACTCAGGCTGTAAACTGTTTTCAGAGTAGTCCACTGGAGACTCGGAAGTCTGTTCATGCTGAATGTGTAAGGGATAAGGATTTGCTGTCAGGAACAGAAGTGCAATAACAGTGTTAATCCAGACATGATGCTGTCTTAAAACCTGCTAATACCTTTTACAAATGAGATGTGAAATTCTGATGGGTGTGGCATTTCACCCAAAAAGATGAGGGGCTGTGCCAGATCCCAGTGTGGGCTGAGCGGGTTCCAGACAGCTGCCTATCCCATACCTCAGCATCAGTGGAGCTGCCGATTTGGTGAGTGCTTTTACCTTAGTCTCAGGTTTCCTTTTTTTATATACGTACTTTTTTGCTAAAGTTGTGCATGGTGTAGGTTTATCGGCCAAGTCCCTGGCTCACTAGTCAAAGGCCAAAAAATGGGTTATTTCTTTTTGTCTTGGCATGAAAAGCCATGGCAGCAGTATACTGAAAGTGTTTTTAGAAGAGCTTTTTTCCAAGTTCAGACCTGAGCTTCAGCAGTCAGCTATACAACCAGCTTCTGCTGGCATCAGCAGTACAACAGTAGCTAGTCGGACCTACGCATTAGTAGAGAAAATGAATGTGGATGTACAAGTCAAAAACCAGAGCAATAGAAGGTTCTTATTGCAGCCATTTCCAAAGTGAGTTTTCCCTTTTTCTGGTGGAATTTGTCAGAGCAAGTTGAAAAATTAGTCTTGCAGGGTTGTATGCTGGATTGGATGGTGGCTGGGCTGTTGGAGGATGGAAAGAATAGCTGCAGCTGTGCTTCTCATGCAGCGCAGTGCGTGCTGCACCACAAAGCATCACAGGGAGGGCCACTGCATCCCTCCTTCTCCCCAGGCGAGCCCACATCTGCATGACTGGCAAGTGCGTGACTATTGCAGCTTAGAGCTCACCAGGCAGATAATAGCAGTGCTTGCCTTTCAGATGCTGACGATGGTTTATCTGGTAGGCAGCTCTGTCTTTCATGAGGAGGGAAAATAGAGGAGCTGCTTGTGGCTTACAGATTGTTTTGGGATACAGCCTTACTTTGCTTTTTACTGAAGGGAACAAGTAAAACAATTCCTCTGCGAGTACACAGTGGTATAGTGACAGGAGCCCTGGAACAACAGCTCTGGTGCAGTTCAGAATTCATGGTTTTGAGTGTGTTCACATATGTTGCTGCAGTGGAGTGCTTGGCACCCTCTGCAGACAAAAATGAGATGGGTTCAGTTGTAATGCAAGTTATGGCCCAATAAATCCCTATTGATGATGGCATGCAAATGTCACTGATGTGCTCCTCCTCCCTGCTGGAACTGTTCAGCAAGCTGTCTTCCATAGGAAACCTCCTTGCAGTGCAACTGCCAGACTCTTGCATTCTTCAGGCTTGAAAATGTTTTCTTTGATGGTTCATCAAGAGATGTACTAAAAGAAAGCAAGACATAATGGGGTCATCTGGAACATCGCTGCTGCTTGCTCCAAATGTAGCAGTTTGAGTTGAAGAAGCCACATGCTGTCCTATTAAGATGCTCTTTGATGTTGTCATCTCACTCGGCATGTCATGATCTGTGCGGTGCATTGTTCGGTGTTTCTCTCCAGCTGAGTGCCCTGTTCCTGGATTTCCATCCTGGCATACCCTGGGAGCATGTTGTAAAAATTTGCTGCATTGCAGTATTTTGTCTTGGAGCTAGTAAAGTGGAAGATGTATTTTTCTAAGCTAAGTGGACTCTCTCTAGCATGAGTGTGCATCTGCCATATCCTTAAGCACTGTAGCATTCCTTCTGGCCGTGAAAGGGCATGTCCCAGTCACTCCTGTGAGCACATTTGGTGAAAGTCTAATGATAGACTTCAGTCTACCTGCTTTGTCTCCTTTAGTTTCACCTGTCATGACAGCTAACACACTACTGTTACTTTAAAGCAAATGTGTTTTATTGATTCTGTGTTGTGACCTCCACTTCAGTGATAACACATTTCCCCATTTTCCACCTTTGTAAAAAGAGCGTGGAGCTGTGGTCTGCAGTAGATGGAAGGTACAGGGATATTTGAAACATAATGGGACTTACGCTGTCTAAAATCTGTGACCTTGTGTGTAATGTCAGTAACCTGAATATTTCATGAAAACAGAGGTGGTGCAGCCCAGAGGCACTTGACCAATGTTTCTTTGTGTTCCCTGTGGTTGATTTGCTGGAAAACGTGGTTCTAAATTGGATTAATCTGGCTTTTCTTGTAGCCCCTGGGTATGATGCTGTTTTGGGCGTATTAATCACTTTTCTTCAGAAATACCGGGAAGCTGTGTTTTTTCCCCCTTGTAGTTTCTCACTCGGATATAGCGATGATCCTGTAAGAACTGCACCTGACATGTATGTGCAAGTGGCTGCAACAGGATTTAAGAAAAATACTGAGATACTCACTGATGTGTACAGTGATGGTACTGGAAGAAAGTGGCTGAGAAAAGAGTCATGCCTTGTAGGTTGACTGGCTCAAGAACCCATTTATGTTTTGACTGCAGTAATCCTGTAGAAAGGACCATCCTTAATAAATATTTCCCTGTGGGATTTCACTCAGCGTTCTGCTCTGTGTACTGAAGTAGAGCCTGATGTCCACATTATCAGAAGCACTTCGTCTTATAGCAAGGGTACTGGAGCATTGGGCTGGTACCTGTTCTGTCAAACAGAGTGTGGGTCTAAATAGCTTCCCTTTCCCTTTAGTAACTATTAATAATTAATTCTAGATCCTGTTGTGTCATTAAGCAGCTTTAG